TGGATGAATTACAAACAACATTAAAGGTCCTATTAGATAGCATAGATATATCAGGTATTGTTAAAGTATGGAAAATTTGTTAAGTAGGAAGTATTTCATGTAAAGAAAATCTGATTGTTCTTTTTACTGATAAAAGTCATATTTACATATACATAAAAATAATTATAAAGGGAATAGTTTTTTATCATTTTTAGCAGGTTATGCTTTACTCAAATGCAGCAAAATTTCATATTAGTATTATACCTATTAGATGGTATAAAGATAACGTTTTATTAAAATTAGACAATATTCTTAAAAATTCTCTAATACTTATAGCAATAGAAGCATCTACTAAAACTCCAATAATAGCAAATTTTACTTTTCAAAGTTTAAAAATTTTTAAGAATCAGATTACAAAGAAAACATTTGGCAAATTATTTCTCAAAGAAATCAGTTTGGAATAGCATTTTCAACTGCTAAAATAGCAATTAATATTGCCTTAGAAACTGGAAGTGATAATAAATTGATTAAATTACTAAAGATTTTATATCAATTAAACAAAGTCATAATGGTGATGATTTTAGATTAGTAGGTAATAATGCAGATATAAAAAGTATTAAAAATAACAAAGATAATAATGATATTATTACTTTACAGTTGCATTTAATCAATCAGATAACAAATCCTCATATTACTAAAATTTGAGATGCTCTATGTAAGAAATGAATTAAGAATACTATAAAGTTGTTAGGAAAAAATAATGTGATGCAAAAAATTATAAATCAAGCTAATGTATAAGAATTTAATAATGAAGAATCAATGTTAAGATCACAATGAAAATGTTTATTATACGAAAAATTAGGATACTATCAAAAGAAATGTTCTGGTAAAAGAAATATTACAGAAGAAAATTAGGTTTTAATTATACAGGAATTATTATTTTTATTTACTATAATAGGTTCGCTTACAATATGATCTAACAGCTTTTTGTTGTATTTTATGCATTATAATTAATTTAGAGAAAAGCTATATAAAGAGCTTAAATTCAAAAGAGTGGTAGTGAAGGAGGATGAAAGGATTTTTTAAGTTTTTTTTTACAACTTTGTTTGGAGTTTATTTGTAATTTTGTCTATGATTAAACATCTTTGATTTTAATCAATAAAATACACAAAAAATTTATTAATAATAAAATATCTACATGTAATTATCTAATCACTTTTATAAAATTTTAGAAAATTATTAAGACACATTATTTAAAATTTTAAGATTACATGATAAAATTTTATTCTTAGTGAATTTCATCTCCTAATAAAATTTATCTCTGATGCCCGTTAAATTAATCCATTTTTTTTATTTAAAAATATTAAAATATTGAATTTAAATTAATTTTTATAATCAAATTATTTAATATAAATTAATAATATAAAGTAATAATATATTATAAATAAATTATATAAATTATAATAATTAAAGTTATTTCTTTATTATAATTAATATTATTAAAATAAAGATTAATTAGATTGTTAAAGGTCAATGATAAAATTTTTTAAAAATTGCAAATTTTTAACTTATAAATAACTTTAGATTATTTATTATATAATTAAAAAATAAAAATTATTATAATATAATATAATATATATTTATAAAATTATTTTGAAAAAAAAAATTTTTTAAAAAATTTTAATTTTTCATAAAAGTAAATCAGAAAGAAATTTATAATAAATAAGTAAACAAATTTATTTATAAAACTTAGAAATTTATAAATTTAATTAAGATTTGAAATTAATATTTAATTTAATTTAATAAATTATAATAAAATTGATTTATTTTATTAATAATTTAATATTAAAATTTATTTTTAAGTTTAAGATATTTTTAACCAATATTTTAATAATAAAATTTATTTTTAAAATTTTAAAATATATTTATTAATATTTTAATATTAAAATAAATTTAAAATTTAAAAACCATTTTTTATTATTTTATTAATAATATTTATTTTTAATGTTTAAGTTATTTTATTAAGAATTTGATAGAAAAATTATTTTTAAAATTTAAAAATATATTTTACTAATATTTTTAGGTAAAATTCTATTTCTGAAACTTTTAAAACATTTTATTAAAATTCTAAACAATTTAATTCAATTTAATTATATATAAATCTCAAAGAAAATTCTTAAAGAATTTGTAATATTATTATAAACCTTAAAAAGTATTTACAACTTTTATGATTTTTCAAAAAAATTACAATTTACTCAGAGTTTTACAATATTTTTTTTATAAACTTAAAGAGAGTTTGTAAAATTTATAATTTTCAAAAGACATTTTTGTGATTCTTGAAGAAATTTACAAACTTTGTAATTTACTTAGAATTTTGCAAAACTTAAAGAAAATTTATAAATTTTTATGATCTTTAAGAAAATTAAAAAAATTCATAAAATATTTGTGATTCTTTAAGAATTTTACAAAAAAATTGTGTTTTTTAAAAAATTTTATAATATTTTTATAATCTCTTAAAAATCTTTACAAATTTTTTACAATTATTAATAAATTTACAAATTTTTGCAATTTTTTAAAAATTTTGTATTTTTTAAGATTTTATAAATAATTCTAATTCTTAAAGAGGTTTATAAAAAAATTGCAATTCTCTAAAGTTTGCATATAAATTATAAATTCTTTTTGAAAATCACATATAATCAAACTAAACTTTCTAATTAATATAAAATTTTCAGTTTAATTCAAAATTATAATTAGAAAAAATTTGAACTAAACCAAAAATTTTTAGATTGATTTTATATAATCTGAAATCAATTTAAAATAATCTAAAATGAAAAATTTTTAGATTAATCTAAATCATTTAAAGTTTTAATTTTTATAATAATTTAAAAATTTATTTTATTAAAAATATATTAAATAAGAATATTTATATATTTTAAAATTAATAATAATTATATACAGTCAACTCTTGATATAGCGAACTCTTGATATAACGAATTTTTTGAACAAATATAATAAAAATACTCTTGTTATAGTGAATTGGCCAATAAAATCTTTTAAAATCTTCACTATAGCCTTATAGTGAAATTGAGGTCTAGAACATAGAGTTCGTTATAACAAGAGTTAACTGTAAAAGTTTAAAATTTTATAATATATTTATTTTTAAAAAATCATTAATTAATTAATTCTATAAATAAATATCATACAAAATAAAAAAAAACTGATAGTATAAAAATCTAAATAAATTACTATACTTTTAAGGATTTTAGGATTGAATCTACAAAAAGAAAATGAAGAAAAGAATATTAATATATATTTCTATAAGAGAAAGACTAACTTGAACTCACTATATTACTGAAACTAATTTTCCAAAAAGCTTGAGGTCAAAATCTATAAAAAGAAAAGGACGATAGCCTATGTTCTTATAAGTAAATACTAATCTGCATCTCTTATATAACTAAAAAAAGCTTTTAAGAAGCTTAGAGTCAAAATCTACAAAAAGAAAAGATCAAAAAAAATGTTAATGTGTGTTCTTACAAAAGAAAGACTAACTCAAATCTACCACACTATTGAAATCAACCTTCCAAAGAGCTCAAGATTAAATCTATAAAAAGAAAAGATCAGGAAAGAATGTTAATATACATTTCTATAAGGAAAAGACTAACTCAAACTCACTACATTATCAAAATAGCTTTTTAAGAAATTCAGAGTCAAAATTTATAAAAAGAAAAAGAAAAGAGCATATCCTGTTAAGGTATAGTGAACATTCTTAATTTAATTTTTATTTTTTAAAGACGGTGGTAGGAGAGATTTTGTAGTAAAATTATGAAAAGATTTTTATTTTTAAAGATTATAATATAAAAAAAAATAGAAAAAAAAAATAAAGTTTTTTTTTTATAATAAATCAAATTTCCTTATTTATATACTAAAAAATAAATTCAATTTTTTTTTTATATAAATTAATAAGTTAAAAATTAAAGTTAAATATTCTCCTTTAAATATTTATTGTAGACTTTTTCTCAATACAACTCTTGACTTTTAATAATAAATACTATAGTCCCTGACAAAAAGAATGGTAATGCAATCTTTTACTATATAATTAACATTTTTTTGAAAGGATTTGTATAAACAATTACATAGTATTTTATATATATTATTATTCTGAATGCTATGTGTATTGTTTGAAGTCTGCAATGCATATTTTAATATGAAAAAATTTTTGCAATTGTGAAACAAGATCAAATTTGAGTATTTGATCATTAAAATTAAGATTACAAAATATTTTACTATATTAATAAGCTTCACCCATTAATAAAAAAATATTCAGCTAAACGTTTTACAATAGAAATAATATATTCTAACTAAAGAAATAGAAAATAGAAAGCATAAAGTTAAATTATAAGAAGAAAGGCTAACTTTTTAATTTTTTAGTATTTTAACTTGTATTTAAATCCAGATTGACAGAGAAGGAGAACACTTTTTATATTTTAATTTTTTGAGTGTATAATTCCTTAATCAAAAGCATTTGAAAATAAAAAAATTTTTAAAAGTTATTTATTAAAAACTTTTATTATTCAAAAAAAACTTATTGCCATTCTTTTTGCTAATAACTGTATAATAGATATAATCACTATAGCTAAGGATTATATTTTAGATGTTGACAAGGAAGAAAAAGTTAAAAAAATCTTCTCAGATGGAAGTTTACTAATTGAATATACTGAATATGAGTCTGATTAGGAGTTTATGAATAAAAAAAAAATCTAAAAATTTAAAATAACAAAATAAATTCAAAATTTTAAACAAATAAATTGAATACAATGATATAAAAAAAAATATCTATTCTTCTCACAAAGTATTATTATTAATCATAAAGTCAGTAGTAGTAATAATTATAAAGGTTATATCAGTAATCATTGATGTGATAGAATTTGCTTCTAAGGTTCCAGAGACATACTTATTTTTAATTCTATTTATTTGACTTAAAGTTTTATGACCTCTTTTCGAAGTAGCACTTTGGGGATATAACTTGTTTAATTATTACTTGATAATAATAGATTAAGTTACAATACATTTAAAGCTTGTTGACCATTACTGTTATTTTGATTAGTGAAAATTAATAAAATGTCTTTAAGTTTAAGTGCATACTTTTCAGGGATTGTTTCGTCTTAAGTGATTTCATCAATCATAAGTAAAATATAGATAATTATACCTATTAATATAGTGGTCATCAATCTTATGGTTTAATTTATAGAATTATTCTTATTTATGAGATACTTAAGGTTAGGATCATGAAATGTATTAATCCAAAATTTGCGAGATTCTCTTTCACTTAAGTTTTTTTTAACATAAAAATTGAGATGTGATTTTCTAATTATATTTTTATAGTTTTAGTTATATGTCCTAATATCATTATGTTTAATCCAATAGATAGCATAATATTATAATATAAATTCTGCATAACTTTTATTGATATAGCATTTACCTAAGTTATTTTATTTATAAATAAAACAAATTATTAATTTAATTAACAAAATTAAGTAAATTCCTATAAAAAATTTGCATATGTTTTTTCATTATTATAAATAAGTTTTG